TTGGGAGGGACCAGACTCAAAGGGGGAGCCCATCCTCCAGGGGGCAGCAGGGAGACATTACGTATGTATCATACATACAAAGACCACGAGCAACTGTGTTAAGAATAAATAAAATTAAAATTAGCATTATAGTAAGTTATAAAGTATGCACACCAAGCTTCACTTCACTCAACACCATTTAGGGTTGTGTGAGTGTGTGTGCGTGAGTGTATGAGTGTCTTTGTGTGTGTGTGTGTGTGTGTGTGTGTTGGGGGGGGTGCCTTAAGCCATCAAATAAGACATTCAATGCTGCAAAGGAGATGCTAATTCATTCTGCACAAGCAGCGCATACAGAGCTGATGTGCATCCAGAATTTGCACTTGATGACAGGAACGAGAAACATTATTGGGTCACAGAATGAAAGGACAGAAGGGACGTCTAACAAACAGGGAGAAAGCTACTTAACAAGGGACCTGATGATATGCATTTGGAATGAAATATTTAATAATGGGCAGGAAGAAATTTTCAAAAACCACACTCTTCCTATTCAGATTATAGGCACCATCGGTTTTGCAGACAATGCAAAGAAAAGCAATCAAAATAACAAAACGTTTGTGCAGAATTCATGGGGGGAGCTTTAATGGAACAATGAAAGCCATCAGAGTTCGGACCCGATCTTCGTTATTTTGATTGTAATATTAGGCACAATATCAGCAGGCTGGGTTTTCTGTCTCCGCCTGGCTGCTCTGCACTGTGAATATCCATACAGATGCCAGTCCCTCCTGCTGTTATTACAGGAAGCTCACCTGTCAACACCAAAGCCCTTAATGTGCCGGAGTTGCCACCCGCCCACTGCCCCCCCCCGGCGCCAGTACCTGTGCCACGAGGCCCTTGCGGCTCCGCCGGGCGTGGTGGAACCGTTTGATGAAGAGCGCCAGAAACTGCCTCCGTATCAGCTCCCCTCCGGTGATGGCGTAGGATCCCTTCCCGTCGGCGCTAGCCACTCTCGTCGAGTCTGAAAGGCGCAGAACACAAGACAACGCCTCAGAAAACACTTCCGGAAGGGTTTCCTTCTTTAATCCCCTTTCCCCTCCAGATCTGCTGTTAATAATGTAGTAGGAAGACGTGATATATTTATTAACAGATCAAAAGACCTACTGGGTCTGACTCAAAGCACTACTATGAATCACCATAAAAAGAGAAGAGCAAACCTTCCAGAAGGTTACAGAAATTGTGAAGAATATATAAGATGGTGTGCCAGATGTATCAGGAGTCTTTAATTCGCTAACACAGCCTAGGCAGCGGGAAAAGCCACCCCTACGATCGCCGGGGTTTATATTAAAGAACAAATCTGCTGTTTGACGCGTAATCTGAAATAATAGCTGGGCCCCACCTCCCACAGGAGAGAACACATGTCTTCATCAATACATAACATATCACGGCTGTGCAAAATAGGGCCACTCTCTTATGGACAACAAACTTGCGGCCATTTACGATCCTCACGTCATGACTCATTGCTGCGTAAAACGACTGACAGGACGATCGATAGCATCGTAGACACGAGAGGCTCAGCGAGACGGCGGTTTGACTTTCGCACCTTCGACCCTGTTCGCGAACTTGTCTTTCCCCTCTGGGTCAGCGGAGCACACGGCAGAAGGAAGAGCAGCTGAAACAAACAAACAAAAAAAAAACGCCAGGGTTTGCTATCAACGTAAATCACCACAAACGTAATTCCGTGAAAAAGCAGCAGGACAGCCATAAATTAGTACTGTACCTGTTCCGGCAACAGTCTCTGTTGAGACTCTGGCGTTGGCTATACTGTGACGTCTGGATTCTCTTGAGCTTCTCTTCCAGTCCCTAACGAATGGACCCTTTTTATCTGAAACAAAGGTAAAATCCAATGTACAGCATCATTTAGGGATAATACAAACTGTACTTGCAAAAATACATTTATATCTCAATAGAACTAAAATACATAAATACTAGCACATCTATAAACTTTACAAGAAAATGCTTTTTGCTGAAATATGTAGTAGTAAATGATAGCAAGCATCCTTACTTTAAAATGAACGACATTCTGCTCTAATGCCTTTGGACTTGACCTTAGAGCTTAATTACCATACACCAATCTCTCACGTGGTAGATCCCATGTGATGCATGCAACCACTTACATGCAACCAACGTGCTTTCATTCGCATTCTCAACATGCAGTCTAACAGGGCTTCTAACTCTGACATTTAGATAGTTATTTCTGCTTCATGAATAACCGTAATCAACATGCCGGACTCATTCGGGACGAGGAAGACCTCGGCAAATTTAATACCTGCTAACTCTACATCTACTCCTGTTTCTTCAGCCACTTTTAGGAAAATCTGTAAAGAGATGAAATAAATGAGAGGAATGGCAATAAAACCAAAGAACTAAGCCAAAAATGTGCAAGTGGGAGCTAAATGGAGTAGGATCAACAACAGATGTTTCGGGAAACAGCAGCAGTCTCTCATGCTGTTCAGCCCGTACATCTGCGGCAGGCTTGATTTCACACTAGTGATACTGAACTATGAGGATTCTTTATCCATACAACACTTAACCAGCACTGAAGATATTTTCTACACAATAAATGAATTACACACATTTCGCATAGGTATACTAATATTTGAAAAGCTTACCATAGCAATGATTTATTTTTATTTTTTATGTACACCATATTTGTCATTTCACAAATAATGATTTACTGAATTTTGCATAAAAATAAAAAAAGATGGGTTTACTTTCCAACTAACTATTGTGTATCCAGAAAGCCATTTCCTTGGCAATGAGTACAGCACTATTTAATAACGCTACCGAGAAACAGTCCTACAATTTCATATTTGAATGTCAAGCAATAAAAACAGAAATCGATGAATTTGGGCGTCATGACTGTTGAGCATTGTTTATACTGCTTGCTAGACCTGTTTGCTTGAATGCACATTACCTGTCACCCCAGTGAGGTTGATAAATTGGAATGGGGGCCAGGAGAGTCCGTTACCTCCTCCAGTGTGGTGTCGGAGATCCCATAACTGGTCACACCAAGGGTAGTCATCTCCAGGTCGAGCTCCTTGAGCAGTGAGGCGATAGTGCCATCGTGGGCGGCCGCGTAGGGCAAGATGTAGGTCACTTCCTGTCCAATGCATTCCAATAGGACAGCTGCCGGGATGTGCTCGTGCAGTAGGAGGGTGATGCTGCTCGCACCAGGAGCTTCTCCTGGTAGGGGACCGGGGTGTATATGGGGGGAAATGAGTTTCTCCACATCCCCGTGAGGGAGAAAGATTGAGGCAAAACATGCATTTTGTGTCAGTTTTCTCCTCTGTTGTATAAATATCGTCATTTCAAACAGCTTTCTTTCAAAAAAGGAGAATTGGTAACACTTTACTTAAGACCATGACTTTAGTATTTTAATTACACATTCATAAATAATAATGCATTCATTACACATTATAAATATGGAAAAAAAAATGTATCAAAAGGCACAACACATTATAGCCATATTTACTATGCATTATGAATGCTTTATGAAGCTATCATCTATAATGTGCTGTAGATACCTTTATAATGCATTACGATGGACGGTATAAGCATCAAGGATAAAGGTATCTATAGTGCATTATAGATCTATACAGCTTCCTAACACAGTCATAATGCATAAACATGGCTATAATGTGTTATATCTTTTTATAAATATTTATAGCCATGTTTATAATGCTTTATGAGTGCATTATAATTCATTATGAATGTGTTTATAAATGATTAAAGTGTTGTTGAAGTGTTCTTTACTGGCACAAAACACATCTTAACAAGGTTTACAAGGCAATGATGGCAAACCGAGTCCTTCTAAATTATTTAAAAAGACTATTGCAAAATTTTCATGACATTTATCTGTGGTAAAGGGGGCCTTTATGTATTTTATTTATTAGCGTTCCATATGACAAACTAACATTTCCCCGAAACATCACCGCACGCAGATGAAATGCTCGTGTTTGCACTACTCCAGAATGTCATCTGGACAGGATGCAAACAAAGCCCCAAGTGCCATTTCAGCCCATAACGTTTCCCTCGCTTGACGAGACGGCGTAGTGAAAACACAGTATGTTCATTACAGGCTTCAGCAGGACACAATGCATACATTTGTCTGCTAATCAAAACTCAATCTGTTCACCATAGGCCAGCTTGTAATGAACTGTGTCCAGTGCTACTTTTTGGTGTCCTTTCTTAATATGTTTCAGTGGAGATACAACAATTACAGTGATTGATCGTAATAACTAGGCAGTCTGTCCAGCTCATGCTGGCTGGATCCCCTGAGATCAGTAAATAGATTTACCCTCATCTATACTCATGCAACATTTCAGTTCTAATCTTTCTGGGCACTGTTCAGGAAAGCATATTCTAGGCTATTGATTTTAGCCTATCATAGATAATTACAGATGTTAAACCAGGCATGGACACTAACGTGCTCTGATGAAATTAGGCAACAGGGGTGTCTGTGCTGTTGCCAGGATTTTGGGGGGAGGGGGGGGGGCGTGTATGGAGCACTCCGGAGGCCAAATGGTCACCTCCTGAAGCGGGATGGGCCGCACCTGCGAGGCAGGAGCTGATCGACTTTCGACTCCCGATGCCCTCGTCTACGCTGCCGCCCCGGGCTGGGTTGATCTTCTGTCAGGGAGAAGGCAGGGCAGCAATACCGGGATAGTCGAAAAAACAGATTACATGCAACTTGTCGTCATTTGCCCTTGTATTAGATTTCGGATAAATATAATTATCTCCCCACTCTCATGAGCTTGGTGGTCGAATGGCAGGACAGAGATGAATGAGGGTGATTGTTGAACCCGATTTATCCAAACGTGACAGACAGGTTGATTAAACTGTCCACAAAAAAAATAAAAAATTACAATCAAACATCACTTTCATCCGTAGCAAGTGGTTCCTCATTGCAAAGGAATATCTGCTCCTTCAACCTCTTGTAAATTTTTATGACTAATCACTTAGAAATTTGTATTAGGAAGGAATTTTTGTTGCTACCAGTTGCCACAAAAGCATCCTGTGATTGGCAGGAGATGTCGAGGGGTGACTTGCTAATAGCACATTGTAGTAAAATAAAATGGAAGGACTGATGTAGTGCTGGGATTTATTGTAACTACATTTAATTGTATCCATATATTAATTACGATTAATGGCCCAATAACACAATATGATAAATGACACTGTTTGGCTACACAGAAAGACTGCTGCAACATTTCGGAGGGTGTGACAGCTTGTGTAATTTTTATCTCACTGCAACAATTCGATTTTTAATTATTTGCAGTCATTTAAAGTTTTAATTGTTTATGCATTAGGAAGCTTTTATCTGAATTATTATTTCAGGAGTGCAGAGCCGTAGTCAGCTGCAGATAAATACCCCCCCACACCCCATAAGAGTCAAGCCACTCATGGCTGTTAAGCACTCCCATAATCCTCAGTGTGTTTTTGTCCCCTAAAGCGAGAGGCGCGTCAGTAAGAACAGGAAATGCCACGCTCTACATTTATTGTTACTGGGTTAAACCGGTCAAGCGTGGCCGCCAAATCTCCTGGTAGGCACAGCGTCTGTACTCCTTAATTCCAGCCGCGAGCCAGCGTCTTGTGAAAGGAGGCGCCGCGCATGGGATGTGCCCGCGGCCCCGGGAAGCAGCGCCGCGCGACCGTGCCACGTGGGGCCCCACGCGCGGCTCAGCGGCACCTCACTTCAGCTAATTATTTCCACTGCCTGCCATTTGTTGGTATTGACTACAATTAGGGGCGAGATGCCCTGTGAGGCGGCAGATCAAATGCATCCCTAATAACAGCTGGCATTCGACGGCAGCGAGACCCAGTAACGGAGCAGTGGGCGTCCGCTGCGAGGCACCAAAACGGAATGGGGCTGTAGGCGAACCCCGCATTCCTGCTGTTTATGACTGTCGCTAATTCAAACCAACTGCAAAACACATGCAAGTGTGATGTGTGGAAATAAATAATCATGGGATTTCCTGAAACAAGCTGGAGGGATTATACAGACGCATTATACTATTTTATTTGCTTGATCGATGAATTAACACAAAGTGACCTTAATCGGCAAAACCAAAGAATCCCATAAGCACACACCCAGACCACAAACCTAGATCACAAAATCAACCCGTTTATAACATCAACCAATAATGCACACATCTAGAACAAATCAACCCTTTATACATACAGCTAGAATATATCAACCCATTTCACATAATACGTAGACCACAAACCTAAAACACAGAATCAACCCATTAATACACAGATCTACACCACAGACTTAACAAACACCTACAACATAGACTCAACCTCCCAAACACTACAAAACGTGCTACTCTAACACCTGTACCACAGTGTGTTGCCCATGTACATACTCAATCACACAAACTAGAAACCACACTACAGACCAAGCCCCTAACCCGGCTAAGAGCCCAGTTACCTGTTCCACCTGACTCTGAGGGAGATCCTGGTGCCTTATGGACATGCTCTTCTGGCCCGCCTTAACCAGCGTGAGGTAGTACCCACTGCCGAAGCACTTCTTGAGGAAGAGTGAGGAGCCGCAGCAGCAGAGTCGGCCATGGGAGATGATGGCGATCCGATCCCCCAGGATGTCGGCCTCATCCATGTGGTGGGTCGAGAGGATAATGGTGCGTCCTGGTGGAAGCCATGGAAACGACAGGGTCAGAAGTTACCAGTGGCTCATCTGATTATGAGGATGAGTGAAACAAAGAGATGACATGAAAAGACTGGTGCTGCATTTTGAAGCACTGTGGTCCATCCGTTCAAGAAATGGTTCTGCTCAATCACCATCCACTAAAGTGCCACACCAGCCCTTCTTGTGATCGTACGGCAAGGACAGTGATATTAAGTAAACTGCATATGCTCCCATGCGGGATGCTCTCAGCTTCTAAACTGCTTAGGGAGGAAACAGGTGTTGGTTGAAACGCTGAAGGAAATTACATTAACATCATCAGCTGTCACCAATGAAATCCCCACGAAAAGGAGCACTTCTGTCTGCATGCAAAACTTGCTAATTTATGCACATTCCCATCTCACAGTTTTTATATCAGTTCCATTTCGTGATGTAGGAAGTAGAAGGATAAATAAGAAAATAGTATTGCAGACATCAAGGGGAACACTATTGTCTAAGTGTGCATTACTACCAGAATACTATCAGCTATCAGATTACTATCAGAGTTTACAATTATACTTACTACAAATTATAATTACTATCAGAGTATACAGAGTAAAATTGCCTACTGTACTACAAGTTTAATGAACACTGTATATTATTACCCATTTATACTGCCTAATTTCAATTGCTTATATGACACTTCCACATGCTTTATAATTTCACCCAAAATTTTACTGCCTTGTAAACCGAACCAGACCTCCTCCAGTACTAAAGCAACCAATAGCAGGGCCACTGCTGGGACATCAACAAGCAATTGGATTTTGTCCTTAAGCACTGTGCTCCCAGCTACCCCAGACAGAAGATCCATTTGTCTGGACATGTGACACGCCGTGCCACATCCTCGCCGTCACTGCCGCCAATGCCGGATTCATCTTACGGAGCCATCAGAAGATAGCTGAGGACAAGCCGGTGTTGTTTGGGCATGCTCAGAAGCCTGATTGGTTCTTACTCAGGGAGACGCGTAGAGGAAGAGAAAGGGGCATCATTACAGTCATACAGTGCCTTCTTTTGCCTAAATAGGTCCTTGATGTCTCCATGTATATTCCATTAATGGCTTGAAGAGGCTTGAGAAATGTGATGCCAGAAAGCGCATCGCACACCATTAATCCAATGACGCTATCAGCTCTACCACAATAGGACATGTAGGCAAATCCGAACCCGGAGCCCCCAAACCCATAGAGGAATCAGGTTTAGTCACGCATCATGTTTATCTTACACCGACAGCTATTTAGCAAAGATACCTTCATCACATTGATGCGATGGATGTGTAATCACTCCGTATGGCGGTCACTTCACTATCTCCTTGTCTAGTATTACCACCTATGAACCAGGGTAACTTCTGGAGCATGATTATGAATGCAGTGATGAACAATCACAACAATAAAAGCAAATAATTTTATACGAACCAATAAAACTTAATTAATAACAGTCTAGATTACTTTATTATTAAAAAATGGACACGACTTTTGCCCCCTCCCCGTTCGGTGTTCAGAAGCGTTCTGTGGTGAATGATATCACCAGCCAGGACATTGAGATTTCTTCCCCAACAGAATGATGAAAGCAGGCGTGAAGGAGACGGTAATTTCATTCAGCTGGAGAGCCCCGCTGAAGTCAGCACATATTCACTGTTGACGGCTCCACCGCTGAAACTGTATTACAAAAGAGGACCGTAACCCCCCCCTCCCACCCCCGCCGCCAATCCACCCACCCACCCCCTTAGAACTGTGTTAGGAGCAGATATGCCAGAACTACCGTGTTTTAGTTTTGCAGACGTCCTTCTCTAGCTCACATTACCACATTTCCAGACTCATATCGAGTGCAGACATGTGTCTGTCAGGCCTCTCGCCTCTCCTGCTTGGGCCATGTGTAGCTGCATGGATAAGGATGTCTGCTGAGTGAATTATCCATAAGTGCAATAAGTCCCTGGTGGTTTTTATCTGGAAAATCCGATGTATGCTGGGGGGAAGAGGCCAAAGGGAGGCTCTCAATTTCCCGGTGAGGGCCAATCAGCCGCATGCTCCCCACAGGTCACCAGATCCGTCCTTAACTCCGGCCTCACACGTCGCCCTACTCTCTAATTTGAAGTCCAGGGCCTTTTCTGCATCTCCTTTATTTGAGCAATCTCCGCCACGCAGCTACTATCGCGACCTGCCTGCGAGAGCTACTCGAGGCTCTGTCCGCGCGGCACGGTCTCTCCGCGGGGTGTTTCGCCGTTAACTGGCGACTGTCGCCACGAAACTGGGTCTGCACTTCTCAGTTTGATGGGGGGGGGGGGGGGGGGGAGGTCAGATCAAGGGGAACCAGAAAAATAAGACAAATAAACTGCCAGTGAAACTCCTATAACCCACCAGCTAGTCAGCTAGCTACAGGGTTGTTACAGCTGGCTGGTGTGAGACAAGTCGAGATAAGTCTGTACACACATGCACATGTATTCACCTGCATGTGAAAGTTTTATTACCTTGTAAATAGTCTGTAGGGCTTGCAAGCTACCCCAGTGCTTTCGATGTAGCTAATTATAGTTTAATAATGGAATAATACAGATTTCTTCCGAGAGTCAGAAAGCGTGTCACACGAGATACATGAGCGTTGGCACCCCTATAGCTAATGTAGAGCCGATTAAGCTAGCTGACAAGACCAAATGTAATAAATCTAATTCATAGTATATAATATGCAAATTATATTATAGTAATACATTGACGATAATAATATTGTAATTTACATTAAGCTATAACGTTTTTCTATAAGTCATCAGACAGGAGGTCTATATACAGTATCTGCATACATACAAGGCAGTGGGCAAATCAAAAGGACAATCAGGGTCAATGCACCCTAAGCCCACACTCCTTGGGTTGTCTCCAATGTCAGCGTGATTTAATATGTAATAAGAAAAACCAAGAGAGTGGGACAATCAAGTAAAAGCACAGTGACCCCCTGCTAGCTACATCTCTGTCATGTATCCATAACCAGGACAGGTCATCTACTCCTGCCTGTACTGGAAGAATAGACAAGCCTGATTCAATATGGAATAAACACCTTTCAGAGAGAGTTATGACCTATACACACAAACACACACACAAGTATACATGTTTCTTATATGTCAAGTCTATATACTTATAATTTCAGGAAAGGTTATAGAATAAAATGTATGGTTTACTATACACAGGCATTAATGCTACTGGATACTTCACTGCTGGAATAACATTATGGAAATTACTGACCAACATATCTGCAGTTGCTGAACCTCTGACACCTGCTACAATAATGGCGACACGCCGAAATTCTGCCCATGCACCTTTTGCGATACGTATGATACTAACACATATTAAATAAATGTAGCGTCATTTACTGGGCAATTTATATATCATCGATGGGATATTATCCTTTGCGTTCAGAGAAATACTGAAAAGAAAGAAATGACAGTAGAACATTCTAACAATAAAATGAAAATTGGGTAATATTACAAAACTGACCACAGCCGACAATTGCGTCTGATAATTCAATGGTCGGCCCATCCATCTGCTCTTAAAAAAATGATGAACTCCCTAATACATAAGAGTTGAGGTTTACCGCCTGAAGAGGGGTAGGGTATTTACTGCAGCTCTCAAATTTTAAACCGTTTTAGCGGCATTCAGAGAGCACTGTTTTCAAACTTGCTCCTGAATACAAGCAGTGTGGAGATAAGGCGGGGCCATTAGTGGCAGCATCTTCATAAATAATAGAGCGAAAGCGGATGGAGAGGAGAACAGAGAAGGGTGATATGGCTGAACGATCAAGAATAACGTTATGAACTTGGAGATTAATCACAGCAGGCTTTCCCTGGTTTTTTCTTCCCCTCTCTGAAAGGTCAGGGCACAGAAGCACTGAATAAATTTTCCTGCCCCCATTAATGTTACTCTAACAGTCGACGTCACCTGCCCTCTGCTGGCACTCCGAGCAGAACACAGGGACTAAACCTCAGGCACGGCACTGCATACCTCGCTGATCCGAGTCCCGGCTGACCCGGCATGTGCACGGCGTCCCAAACGCGGCTGGACGCGACATTAAACTGCCGGAAAACATCCCTCAGAGCTCGCAGGAGAGGAGGCACGTAAAATGAATGCTGTCTGCGTTCTCCAAACAAGTCGGATCCATTTACTGTTCTGTTGATATTTACTGCGATGCTTTGCTGCCTAGGAGGTCAGCTTCAAGAATTACATTGCCCTGAGCAACAATTCTTAAGATTGAAATAAATCCTTTTTTATATAAATCGTCAGCATCCTTAAAACAAAAAAAAGCTCTTGGGTATTTCAAATCCCACTGGTGCCACTAATCTATTCATCTTATCCTACCAACTATGCGTGACACCACAACACAAGACACAATACAATTAAATATACATTCAACTGTAAATAGCAATATCCTCATTTACATAATATATGTTACACATTAGATACTTATTCTACATTTTGTTTAGTTGCATTTATAGTCTGCGATGGGTTGGCACCCCTGTCTAACTTCCAGAATACGTCCCGGAGCCCAGTGACCTTGCATATGACAATTGGCTACAAAAAATGATGGATGGATGTTTGGATGGATGAATGGATGGATGGATGGATGGATTTGTATAGTTAGACTAATCAGAGCATGGCAGTCCAATCTGATTTTGTCTGTTTGGCTCATTAATTATTTATAAAATGATTATCATTATTATTATTTAGCAATAATTATGATCATTATTAAAACTTCAAATATCTGTTTCTGCATTATAATGAGATTTTAGTGTTAAAACAGTGTTGTGTGAAAAAAGACATTTTTGAGGAAACTTAATTAATTATAAAATACATTTTTTTTCCCCAGAGGGGTAGTATGTAGATCAGGGGTCTCCAACTCCGGTCCTGGAGAGCTACTATCCAGTAGGTTTTCTGTCCCACTTGGCTTCTGATGAGCCACACCTGCTCCTGGTATTTACCTGAGAACAGCTGTGGCTCATCAGAAGCCAGGGGGGATTGAAAACTTACTGGATAGTAGCTCTCCAGGACCGGAGTTGGTGACCCCTGACGTAGATCATTGCGGAAGCAGATATGCACTTTGTTTCCCATATAATGTGAATAATATTGATGTTTTATGGATTATTAAGGGTGCTTTTTGGTGGAAAATATTTCAAATATATGCCTCATTGCACACAGGATTACTCTGGAATACTTTAGCAAACAAAGTGGCAGCTTGGACAGCCATATTGAGTAAGTTCTCTCGATTCCAAAAATATGCGATTCATGTATGTGCGTTATACCTATCCAGCGTTACAAGCCTGGGATTATGGGGTGCGAAAATCGGCGCATTTCGCGTTTGTCGGGTTCTAAAGGTTAATGGGACCATCTTTCCATCACAAGTCAACATAATGCATAATGTATCTTTAGACCGTGTCACCACACAGGATTATATACAAAGCATTTTGAGCATTACTAATGGTACATTCACCTAAAGCACAGCCTCCCTCCAGTGAAGAGAGAGGCACATCAACCAAAGCAATCAAATAAAACAGCATGGTCTATATGTAACGGCATTCCGGGAGCGGGCTGGCTGAACGCGTGTGAAGCAAAACGCTGACAGACTCAACCTTGTTAGAAGGTGGGATGATGAGCACCTGTCCAAAGTTGTTAATTTGCTAATAAAATATAATGTCAAGAAACCTAGGGGAATATACCTTAGGCCAGAATCTTAAAAAGCTGATTAGAACATGCTGACACCTCCCCACGCAAAGCGAGAACTTATTTTTTTGGCAATGTTTTGATCATCCGAAGCCATTATCTCTATAGCCAATCATTCAGTGCAACGACACGCTTGAAATATTTACAGATTATAAAGTGTCACTCTCAGCATGTCATGTTACTTCTAAGCTCCTTGAAGCTTATGGAGCATATTATCCAGGGATGTGGGTGCTGCATCCAGTAAGAGGGATTTTTGTTGGGTATTATCAGGGATGATGTCATTTTCATATATACTTTTTTTTTGTTAATTGTACAAAAAAAGGACAATATTAGATAATGATGAGAATGTCCTCTTTTCTTGCTTTAATGATATAAAGACTTCACCAAGGAGAAAAAAAAAAATATATATATATATATATATATTCATTTTATTTATTTCTTCTCTTGGTGCAGTTCCATTAACTGAAGAGAAATGTTAAAACTGAAAGCTTATTGCCAAAAACACAATTACAGTTATCGGCTGTCGTTGACGTTTCTCAAACAAAATCCCTACTTGTGCACAAATCGGAAACATTTTCAGGTCTTATTTCAGCCCCTTCCCAGTGTTAAAATGAATTAAATGATGGATGACAAAGGACTTGCATATAACATAACTTAAGAGGCCTGTCAGACGTTCATCGTCGACAAGCTATCATTTGTTGGGCTGTTCCGGAGACGCAGACAGACTCAGTCTGCTAGGCCGTTATTCAGGAAGACTGGTACTCAAGATAAAACTCAGGATAGAGGGAGAAGCCTATCAGAGTCAAAAGCTAATGACTGTTGGCTCAGGGAGAATGAAAGCCAAGTGCTGAACATTAACCAAATAGACACCTTTGAAGGATATATCATAATAATGACCCATGTTCATCCCTTGACAATGACACAGGGAAATCAAATTACGATCAACAAAGTGACAGACAATAAAATTTCTAAAGATGAGCTCATGCAGTAACGTCTACGAAAGAGACATTTCTGCTCGTGTCACCCAGGCCTTTGTATGACAAAGCCCTTCTCATCGTATTCTTTTGATGTAAGGCTACACAGGAGACAAGACTGAAAAGACGACATCATTCTACTCTGTGAACACACATTAAAAAGTAAAGTGGCCAATGAATGAAAATGCTCTCATTGCTGAATAATTAATATGCGGGCACTGATGGAGAACAGGGATACCTTTTTAAACCCCCAGGATGACTTTGATGAGAATACCAGAGGACCAGGATGTGTCATGAGGTACCTGATTTGTACTTCAGCAACAGCTCCCATATTCCCCTACGAGCGTAGGGGTCCACGCCTGCCGTGGGTTCATCCAGGATGACAATGTTAGATCCCCCCACAAAAGCGATGGCCACTGATAGCTTCCTCTGCATCCCCCCTGAGAAAACAGTCATCACTCCATTGTCGCCATCGTTCATTAAGTCTTAACTCTTCCGACAATGCTAACGTTTGCTTTCCAACTGTAATATACCATACGACATACAAACAGATAAGCATTCACTATAAACGTTTCGATGAAAAAAATATGCATATATATCAAAGTAGCAGAATTCATTGGCGGTCATTTGTAATAAATAAACATTGAAGTTTCCATATCCATGAAAGGTTCAAATGCTTCTTTAGATACATTTCCATTCATTTTAAAGAACTGTTTATCCAGTACAGGGTTACTGTACCCTAGAGTCAATCCCAGCAAACACAGGACACTCTGGACCGGATGCCAGTCCATTGCAGGACAGAAACCCACATTTTTACAAAAAGAGCTATTTAGAGATGCCAATTCAGCTCACAGGTGTTTGGACTGTGGGAGAACATGGAATCTCCATAATCAGAGCCTCAGCTGTCATCCTTTAGCTAACACTTTAGTTAAAACCCACAGGTAAAAATAATTTTAAAGTTCAGAGATGCTGTTATTTAACTGAGAGCCTGACGGCACTATGTTGTGGTTTCCTTGCAGAAGATTAGGTGGCCAGCAGGGGGGTGGAGTCGAGGCTAATTTTGTCAAAGAGAAACAAAATGAAAAGAAAGATGACCACATATGATTGGTGTTCACCTGACAGGTTTTTGGCCAGGTCTTTGCGTTTGTGTGGCAGTCCGACGTCCTTGATCATCTGCTCCATCTCGGCCGCCACCTCGCTTGCGCTCCTGCCTTTGAGCCGTGCATAGAAATAGATGTGTTCTTCTACGGTCAGGCTGGTGATTGAACACATAACACAGAATAGCCAGCTTCAGCAGAGCTGACTGAGAGCCTAATGGCTGATTTCTAACAGGTCTAAGCTCTTTAATATGGTACTTCACATTTGGGCTAATGTTAGGCAGAAAAAAATAAGTGCATATTTATTGACACTTTAATGCATCACAAATTCTATATCTGGACCCAAGGTCTGACTCAACGGTGTAATTTTGACCTTTAAGTGGTACTGAGGCAGCGCTTAAGCACAGAGGATATTACAGTACCTACTTTCTGAACAAATAACAAAATGGTTCTGTAATGCAGCTAATCAATGAACAGATCACTGGCAGTACAACACACATAATCACTGAACAGATATCGTGCACCACAAATCACCAACTCATCGAACAGATAACTGGCACTATAAATCACCTACTCTTTGAACAGCACATTGTGCTGAGGACACATTCCTAGATGCTTTCTGATGGCATCCATATCCGTGCGAATGTCCTTCCCGTTTATTAAAGCTGTTCCGGACGTTGGTGCAAAAAGTCCGGTCAAGATAGACCTGAAATTGACAACAGAAAGAGGACTGTTACTGACATACTTAATTATGAAGACATATATGTGTATCACTATTTTTAAACATATCCCCCTCATACTGGAAGGATATACCAAGGAAACAGAAGAAGATACATCGGGAATGGGAACTTGCTGCTAGTACTCTTGGTCACATTGTGCTGCCTTCACCTTATCTGTACCAGAATCACTCCAATAAAACACTGCACCTGCTTTTAGCCTGAATAGAAGACTTCCTGGGCTCCACCAAATATAGCAACAGCACTGCATCAGTACAGCGAATAAGATATGATTGGGCATAATCACATCATTACATCAAACTGTGTAAGACATCAAACCTGCCTGAAACTCCACATAAAGTAGCTTTTTTTCCCCCTCAACTACATTACGGTTGTATCATTCCCATCAGAAATGGCGCAGTGGTAATCGGGCGTGTTGGGGAGATGTCTTGGTGGGTCGGTAACGTTTCAGGCTGATTACTGTGGGCTAACAATATCATGTTTATGAAAATGCCTTGCTGAGCCATGAAGCCGGCTAGAGATGGGAGATCGCAACCATTCTCGGTAATTCAGGGGAGTAAACGAGCGGCCCCTACCAAGTGGTACAGCCCGAGTTTGCCTTAATTACATGGGACACCTATGAACTTATCTGGTAGCTAGATCAGCACAGCAACATGTAGGAAAAGATGGATGGCAACAGCGAAAGGACAAAGGAGAGAGGTGGTGCAGAGGAGGTAAGAAATAAAAAGAAAAATATACTAAAGGAGGATACAGGGAAATGGTTGAAAATAACAGATATATTCTGAGCAGAGGAAAACCGGAGCAGGCAGGCGGTGCTAACGGCTAGCAGGGACATTAACACTGCTGACATAGTGATCTTGGAACTTCGACAGAGTTAACTGCCAGCATGTAACAGTCACGCTTAGCATATTTCACATAAAAGCTTCCCCAATTTTCATTTTAGCACCAGCTGACCAGCTTGGTTATCACACTATAAAAGGGAGCAAAGATAAAAAAATATATATACTGTATATAGCTAAATTTCAGAAAAAAATAACAGGTATGCAGAATACACCATGTGAGGAGTACAGCCAAGGAAAGGATGCAAGTTTTAGAAACGAGTAGCAATATTGTAGAAAATTACAGGATGGGGCTGAAGTGCTATTTTGACTGCAATATATGAAGAAATCTAGGAAAAGATCTGCTATATGTAGACCTACTTTTGTATAATATGAAGGTAAAATTGTTATTCTGTCAATAATTCTCAAACAAGCCTCATAAATTAATGTAGCTACTGTATGTGAAATTATATTCAGCTGTGTAGTACTGCTACTGATAACTTCTGTTTATGGCATCAAGAGCAGACATATGAAGCTGATCCTGTAAGCAAGCGAGAGAAGCTTCTACTTCAGAGTCTTACAGAGGCAGCAAGAATGAAGGCCGACAGAGGCTCTCAAACAGATGAAGGAAACGAAGAGAAGTCATCTACAAGCTTTGATTAATTTACAGCAATCAGTCACTTAATGTGAAAACAACTACTCATGTTTTGAGAACAGTCTTTATATTTCACAGTTTATCACAAACAGTTTGAGTCTACTTATTTGTGATATTAAATAACTCTTTCACAATAGATTTTCAGCTAATTCCTCAGTTGTGTCTCTATGTTTTGTTGGTCTGGAGGGATACCAGCTGCATTAAGTACAGTACCGTGTTGTTCATGTAAAAACCTGCCCTCCCCATATGCAATGTCTCACTGTCAGGTCAGGTAATAGCCCATACCATACAGACAGGTCACGGGGAAGCAGGTAATATCCTATCCTGTCGTGATGTATAACAGGGCAACAGCTAATGGCTTCTTCCATTCTGGGGCATCAGGAAATGGTCTGTTCCACCCTGAAGGTAATGACCTGAACCATCTTTAACCTACTAATTTTTCTGCTACTGCAGCTTTTTGCTAAAAATGGAACTCCCGCTTGACCCTATTACACCGTATCAAATGCTCAGCTTCAGCCGACCACACAACCATCCCGAAAGCACTCGTCTCATTATTGGGGAATCATCTCAGTCACTCGCATGAATTCATGACATTCCTCATTCCCCTCTTTTTCATCCTGTCAAGGGGCTTCATTCTCAAAATCTACAGGAGCACATTATAAATAGCAAGTGTTTCATACTTATTGCCAAACAGGTGCAAAGTAATTTACCTGGTTCTCTCCCTGACACACTGTACTGCATGCCAAAAAAAAGGTGGCAAAACAGACCAAACAGAAATATGATTATACAAGATAATTAAGCAGCTTGTACTCATTTGCTCCATGTAAACACCTGTTAGCAGTTTACTTTTCAGGCACTTCAGAGTGCAAACCTGTTCCCAAACAAATAGTTCAAAACACAAATACGTTTAAAACATAAAAATAATACATATCGAACAAGGTAAATGTTTAATTAATTGTGATAATACTGATGTCTGACTAAAGAAATGATCACTTAATCATTTGGTCTTATTCCATGTTATTAGAATCACTTGTTTTTTCCAGTTTCTTACTGTATGTGGATTTGCTGTCAATGGAATACGTACCAAAGAACAGTGTACAGGTCAGAATGGCCCTAGAAGTCTCTCACAGAAGAGGCGTTTACCTGACTAACATTACAGACACACTCCTGACTTACATGGTGGTTGTCTTCCCAGCTCCGTTATGTCCAAGAAATGAAGTTATCTGGTCCTCGTAAAAGTCCACGCTGAGCCCGTCCACTGCCAGCTTCTTTCCAGTTTTATAGACTTTCACGAGGTTTCTGACAGAGACTCCGACTTTCAGATTTGAAGGGGGCTTTTCTAGATAAGCTGGAGTACAGACAGAATTTCACCAGCTTTTGTATTCATGCTTACTGTGTGTGTTTGTGTGTGTGTGTGTGTGCGCGTGTGTGTGAGCTTCTATACCTTACCTTATGGGGACACAATGTCCCCACAATGTCCCCATAAGAGAAAACTCAATTTAATTGAAATCTGTGACTGCAATGAAAAAACTGCAAGAACTCCTGTATTTTGTTTGGTTACTTATGGTTATGGCTAGGGCTGGGTAGGGGTTAAGGTTGTCATAGTTAGCATTAGCATTTTTCCCATAGAAATGAATGAGCGGTCCCCATAAAGATATGTTTACCTGACATATGTGTGTGTGTGTGTGTGTGTGTGTGTGTGTGTGTGTGTGTGTAATATCGCTAGCTTTTGTATTCATGCTTTCATGCTTTATGTATATGTCTGTCTATATGTATAATTTCACCAGCTTTTGTATTCTTTCTTTATGTGTGTGTATATGTGTGTGTGTGTGTACGTGTTTTTTCACAGAAGATTAAACCTGAACATTGCTCCATTTGGCTGCAACAATCTCACGGGCTAAAATTCATCATCTTTATACATCTGACTAAACACTTTTTAATGCCATGTTTTGGACTCATTTTAAACTTCAGTCATATATCGATGTTATGTTGAATGCACACTGATGTTTGCAGGAATAAAAATAGTCATAGCCTTTAAAAAGCTACAAAAGCTTAAACTTTCATATTCTCAGACATGTTTAAGATCATATTCAATCATCCACTTCCCCACATCCTGTCCTGTGTTATATATGTGATTTCTTTCTCATGCTCACTCCCCCCTGCTGTTATTTTTATACTGTGAGATTTCTTTTGCGTCAATTTGTCACATTCCCATTCATATTTCCATTTCGCTCAGTGTCTGTATCATTCCCCTTTGGCCAACATGCCCAAAAACAGTCCGATGTACATTGCATTCATACTCGATCAACTGCATATTTTAGTTTCTATTCACATTTCAGTAGACCACAGATTCAACCAGGAGCTGCTTGCTGTCTAAACAAAACTGTTTCGCCTTTGCATTTTAACATGCCACAAATAAGCGAGGATGACATATGAATTGCCAGGACTTTTTACGGTTTGGTTTATTAAGCAATGGAAATGAGCTATGGAGGCCGCTGTCCATAAATCACAAATGGGCACAACATCTTCCCGGAGAATAATCTGTAATATCCCACGTACCATTGTGCTGCTCAGGGTCCTTTGGTGGATCTTGGTCGGTATCAAAGTCTGAGGATGTTCCGCACCAGTAAGAGGACGTGAAGGGAAAATACCAGGGCTTGGGTATTCCGTACTGGCCTGTGAAAAGAGCACAGGAAGACATTCTTTAGGAGGTTTTTGCAGCTCCAGGGCCTGTTCTTTGAACAAGCTTAAGCCTCACTGAAAGCCTGCTGGGAAATCAGCAGTAGCGAGGTTCCGCCACTCTTGCTCCTTCGCCTTATAGAGCCATCGACAAAAGGCTGAAACTGATTAAGAAGTCTGTTTAGGTAGGGAATGCAGGACATCCACTAAATAATGGAATGCCTTAATCCGTTATTTTTAATCAAACACAATACATTAATTGATACAATCAATTGCAAATGTAAACACTAAAATATGGGTTTAGTTCAAACTATTGATTTCCATGGCTTGCAATCCCCAGAATTGAAATACAATGTTTCTTTGCCCTATAGCACTTGCAGAGCCTTGCCAAGAAGCACCAGCTCCCCACACTCATCTGCTTGCAGCTGCCGCTCCACATCTTCACTGAAGTGCCATGCATTACTTATGCAGGGTTGCCAAGTTTCACACATGTGGCGTGACGCTCATGTAAGGAATCTTACAGAAAATGCATATTATTCCATTATAAACCTAAAATTAGCTGTATCAAAAGTGTTGCGCTAGTTTGGAAAGTCTACGGACTATTTACGATGTAATAAAACTGTTACATACATATAAATCCGTGTGCAGACTTGTCTCAAATTGAAAATCTGACCAAAGTTGGCAACCCTCACCATTAAAGCCAACAGTTTCAAGGTAGAACATGACTTTGTTCTTTTGGAGTTCTCTGTTTGTTGTTCATGCAACATTGATGCAAACGGCATGGGTGGGGAAGGAGCGTGTACCTGGGAATACGTTCTCGATGTACCAGGTCAGCACCCAGTAGATGAGGGAATCGACAAGCATCATGATGATGGAAACCACAAAACTGTAACGCTCGTCATCCTCAGGGCTCTTACTGATGTTGCTCCACTGAATGCCCACGCCCTGTTCCTCGTAGCGGGAGAAGTTCTCGCAGCCAAAACCGAAGGCCACACTGGACAGAAGGCTCTGGTTGGGCAACAGAGAACGTTTTGCTGGACACCAAGAACAGTCATTTCAAACCAGACCTTTACGGACACAGTTTGCAGCAGAAGACTAGGGAAAAGTACAGAGTCAACAGGATGTCAGAAGGGATGATACTGGCAATATTAAGACTTCTAATCCAGCTCAGATGACCCTACTCACAGGTGAGCCCAGCGCTTAACCTCGCTCATTTTTTGCTTTGCAAGGACAGCTTTCCTCAGAGGATTTCTCAAACTGATGCCAGACGTCCCATACGGACAGAATTTACGCGTCAGCAGAGAAAGCTCAGCGGGTGAATGTGGGATTGGCCTTTGACCTCTGCGTGATGAGCTGGCTGAAGAGTGATACGTTTGTTCTGACACAGGCCCTCCAAGATGACAGCCCTGAGCATCAATCATCTGATTCGTGTCACAGGTGCAAAGAGTGACAAGCCACCGGGCTTGAAAAGCAAGTTTTTCATCCCGTCTAGTACAATATAAAATGTTGTACGTGTACAACCCGGGAATACTGAATGACTTTTTCTATGTCCCTTTGGATCAAAAACACATTTCTTGAATGCTACAGAGATGATGAACTAGACATCATTCTGGTCTGAGGCACATCAAGCGAATAAGTGCAGGGTCCCATCCGTCTGACACTGGAAGCAGCACAGGATCGCAATGTCAAGAGTTCCCTGCAAAGTCACTTGAAGCACTTGGAAATATTAACATACCAGACAATATACTTATATAGGACAATGTAAGCAAGACGATGCAGCACATTGATTATTAATGTCAATACGAAGGAAAGTACTGTTGCACAGACATTGTAGAAGACTTTTGTCCATAAGACCATATAAGATATGGATATTTTAATATTACGACTACATTATTTAAATGCAAAGATCTGTTTATTGGGGGGTGGGGACATATAAAGTCAAATGAAATATTGGGGGGCAAAAAACATGTCCCCCTCCCCCTGGTGAAGCCCCTGTTTGTCCACCATAATGATCACTTTTGACTAAACATGATCTTAATAAAATAGCCCGATTTTGTCCACAAACTTGTTAGTAATAATAATAATAATAATATTAATAATAATAATAGATACTTTACTGATCCCCTTGGGGAAATTCCCTTTACGCCTCCCCCAATGTGCTCTCTGTAGGTGAGAGCAAGCTGGCCATGAAGGGCAGCCACCCATAGCAGCACCCAGGGAGCTGGGGGTTAAGGCCCGTGCTAAAGGACCCGCAGATGTGCTGAGGCTGGGCTTGATCACTTTTCATCAGGCAGCAGCAAACGGAAACCTACCACCAATATCTTCACCCGGAAGCTCATGACGTCGCGCCAGGCATAGCAGAGGATGTGCGGCAGATAGAGCACGAAGTAGATGAGCCCGCCGCAGGCGGCGGCCAGGTTGGCTTTGGAGAAGAACACGCTGATGAAGAAGCACTCCATGACGGTGGTGATGCAGAAGGTCAGCAGGAACACGAAGATGACCGATGGGTCGCTGTACTGCAGGACCTTTCCGTACTGCCAACCAGAGATACGGACAGCTGGTTTAACCCGCCCGAAGAAGTGGCTGCTCACTCAGGCCCACCACCGCTGGACGGCACATCAGTCAACCGACTAAATGCACATGTGGCACGTGATGCATCATCCACAAACGAAAAGTGACAGATTTATCGGAAAAGCAAAGCAAGTGAAAAAGGGTATGCAGTGGAACCCAAGCACATGATTGCAAGGTACAATTGGTATGAATTGGTTTTGATTGTATATTTGCACATGGACTGGACAGGGAAATGGTGACATACTGTCTGTTCATTCAGCCTTGCTGATCGCACCTGACTGGACACTGCAGTAAGTAAATAAGTAAGCATGTAGTTCATTTATATAGCACCTTCTGAGAGCCAGTGTCATAAAGTTGCTTTATTAGCCAATCAGGTTGATCTAGAATATACAATATTTTACTTTGGCCATGCATGTTTCGTACAGGGTGACCACCTAATCCATGTCAAGGAGGACCCTTTGAACTACTTCAGGTTTTACAAACCACTTTAAAACTGAAAGGCTCCTGTGCTCGGCTAAACAGTTCACTTCTTCTTGTGCTTTGACCGGCTTGATTCCTTGACTGAAATATTCACGCCGCTGTTTCACATAAATATTAATGACACATGCATGATTATAGGAGACAGACCATTCAGCAGACAGCAAGAACTCAGTGCTTCCAAATCCAGTCCTAGCTCAAAGTGTCCTCCTCAACATGGATTCTCGGGTTGCCCTAGTATTGTAACTTTCCCTGGGACCGTACCAGGCCGTTCATCAAACATCCAGCACGTAGCCATCCACCTGTCCAGCACCATGGCTGAATGCGAATGAATCAGGGGGGAATCACCTTAAGGATTAGGGTCAGCAGGAGGGCACTGACGCTCAGTGGGATAATGCTGCTGATGAGCCAGCTCAGCCAGTAGGTGGTGTGCTTCAACCCCATCATCTTAATAGTCTCCTTCAGCCGTGCCTCCTTCTCCTGCACCACTCCCTTCACCATCATGGCCACTGAGTAGATCCAGGCCAGGGTCATGTACAAGGGTAGTGAGCGTGACAGTGAGCGGAGGAACCTAGGGGTCAGGGGCGGGGCAACAATTCCACGCAGTGTGTGACTTCCGGGTCGTGCAGCCAGTGACTTCGGGGTCAGAGTGAAACCTTCGAAACATTTTACTCTCACTGATTTTAATAATCAAATACTTCTGAATGCATCTCGTAGGTACACACAGCTTGATACAATAGCACAATCCAGACTTGCAGTCTGTTTTTATACCTAAGTATAAAATTAATTTGTTACAATTATATTCATAGAACAACAATCAATGCCTGTTACTTTTCAATTATATTATGCTAATTGCAATAAATGGTTTAATAAATCAATACAATGCACAGTGCATCTGCTGGCTTATTGAAATTCCTAGTTAAATGAAAAAAATACAACTTCCTTTGTAAAGAACTATAGAGAACACTATATCATTTTTAAAAAGCCTAACTAGATAATTTAAGATTATAAGCGGCAAGCTAGTTATGTGCAATTAAATACAATATAAGAATATAAGAGGGCTAATATTAAGTAATTATGCCATTTATATGCATATCCATAGTCATTGGTCATACACAGATGTCTTTCTGCTTAAGTGGAATATATTTTAAAATAAAGTGGCATATCTCTGCATGGAAATTACACGGTTGTATTTATTAAAGCAGTTGCACTCATGTTTCATAAGCTGAATTTATTTGTATATTAACTGTTCTACAGAGGTTTGTATGCAATTTATATATTAATTATAAATGTAATTGCAGATAATAAATTATGAATATAAATGTGTGTAAACATGTTTCTGTATATTTCTTTATTTTTCTTTTATGACATCTTCCCATATTGTTTTTCAAGCAATAAAATTTCAAAAGTAAATTTAACCACTAAACACAAGTTTTTCATTATACCTACCTAACTAAAAATTGCACAAAATATACCAGGGTGTCTACTGGTTTATTAGAAAAAAGTCCTGCATTTTAGTCTTAGTTGATATCCATTACTGCTGAAATGCAGCCCCTTAAATTCATTTCTATTAATTAAACTAATTAGCATGAAACAATTGTAGTAGTATCTTTTAAAATATAATTCCCATTACTGGCTGAATGGTTGTATTGAACAGGGATGTAGTTATCGTGAATGTTATTCAGAGTGATTTCTAGGTCAAATCTGTGAATGAACCCAGTCCAGGTCTGATGTGTGCCTGGCCCGGTTTCCATGTGCTGTGCTACAGTGAGTCTAAGCGGTGATAGTCACCCGGGATCAACACCCACCGTCTCAGCCAAAGCTGAATGTCGTCATCAAAGCAGACGTGTTACCCGAAATGAGGGGCTGCAGCTGCACTGAAGACTCAATCTTGGAACATTCACTAACCAGCGGAAAAGAGAACTTTCAAACCAAACTCAACTGTGCCAGGGACAGAGTTTTCCCGAAAACAGCTGATCTTTGTGGAGGGCCCTGGACGGCTTGAGACACTGAAGCAAACACGCACTCTCTTCTCACAGATACAAGCGTGTGCATCTTCTTATTTTCTTATGTTTCATACTTCTCTGCAGTTTTATGCCTTACAATTAATCACTACCAAAGTTGGTCACTATCAGCAAATTCCAACAACATGGAACAGAATATTTCTTTAAAATGTGTAATAATGTTCTGAGTGAGTTTGCAGCTTTTCCTTGCCTTCACATTTTATGTCTTGCCTTAAAATGTTGCCAAATTTACCTTTGTCAAATTTGCTCAAATATGATTTGATGTCACTTTATGTAATTTAATTCTACCTTTATTAAGGTGAAATGTTGACAGAATTAATCATTCTTCAAATCACAATCAAAATAAACAGCAAGTGGAAAAAAAGCTGTCTCTTTACATTAAAGGTCAAATCAATTTCTTGTTTAAAGTTAACAATCAATAACAAAGAGCATGGAGAAAAAAAATAAACATAGTAGGAGTTATAACTGAAAGGATTAGATACATGAGTTGTAGATTACACACGAATTTCCAACACCAAATTTCGTCAAATATTCAATCAATCAACCAGCGCCGTTGTAAATTGACCAATTTCAGTGTAATCAAGCTTCGGCCATTTTCCCGTTTCCTTGATCATTGTTTTTATTCAGGACTACCCCCAAGGTGATTGCTGAGTTTGCCTAAATCAAGGTCATCCAACCACAAAGCACTAAAACCGAACGACTTCAAAAGAATCCGCAACTTTGTTGCTGCAATCTGTCCCTGTTGTAACGCTGTGACTTGATTCATAACGAGATAACACGACGTTAATTGAAACTAGCCCTCTGAAGGTAGATTTCATTTGTCAGACATGGTGTTGTAGTGCTTTGTGGTGTGCAGACCGTCCATCTCCTTGACCGCTCAAGTGGGTCTCCACTGACCTTTGCCAAGACGCTTAGAAGCGCACAAGGCACGGCGAGCAGCGTCATGTTCTCGATGAACCAGGCGCACCAGAGGGCGCCATTGCGCACTCCCACAGCCCGAAGCACCTCCTTCAGGCGTAGCTCCTTCTCCAGCACCAAGCCCTTGATGGTCAGGCACACCGAGAACATGAAGGCCAGCACCAGGAACATGGGCAGGATGCCCCCGATACTGGAGATGAAGCTAGCAACCAAAAAGTTCACACTCTCAGGGTATATACTGGCAACCAGAGGAACACGGAACTGCAGGAGGCACCATATCATCATACGTGTTAAGTTTGTGTGTGTGTGTGTGTGTGTGTGTGTGTGGGTTTGCATAGATCACATTTGAGGACCAAATTGTCCCCAAAGTGCAGTTAAACCTGAATTTTCCCTACCTTTAGGGACATCTTTTGAGGTCCCTATTCGGATAACCTCTGTGAAAGCAATCAAAAAAGTAAAAATGCCAAAAGTCTTGTATTTGGGTTGGTTACTTATGGTTAAGGTTATGGATGAGTAGAGGTTAAGGGTGTCGTGACTGGGATTTGGGTTTTTCCCATAGAAATGAATGAATGGTCCCCATTTAGATAGGAAGACCAACTTGTGTGTGTGTGTGTATGTGTGTGCAAGCGGGTTTACCTATCCTTATGGGGACATAATGTCCCCATAACGTGATAAATATCCATTTCTTTTCCCTTATGGGGACCGGTTTCCTGGTCCCCATAAGGGAAAACTCTATTTTATAAAAATCGGTGACTGCTATAAAAAAACAAAAAAAAATGCAAAAACTCTTGTATTTTGTTAGGTAGGGGCAGGGTAGGGGTTAAGGTTGTCATAGTTAGCATTAGCATTTTTCCCATTGAAATGAATGAGCGGTCCCCATAAGGATATGTTTACCCTACATGTGCGTGTGTGTGTGTGTGTGTGTGTGTGTGTAAGAGAGATAGAACAGTCTAGAATAGAAAACCTACAAGAGGGAAATCAGCCATGTACAAAAATAATAATAAACAAAACACAGATTTAACAAAAAGCTGTAAATCAAGCAAATAAAACTGCACAAAAAGATTACTCTGCTAAATAAAAAACATTTGAAGTTTACAGTAAATAGACCGATAGACTGTTTTTATATCAGGTAGTATCAGCCATTACCTTTTAAACCCTTTTAAAAATTATTTTATGATCATTTCTAGCTGCAGTCACCTTTTTTCAAAGCCCCAAATCTGAAGCACTCCATTAACTAGTCCTTTTTAATACCACCACTTTCCGAGATGCCCACACTGCATCGTAGATACATGTTTGCTACAATTAAGGAGCCTGAATGACACTCACTATGCTTCAGCTACTCCATTGGGGGAAGTGTCACTTTTACAATGACACATTTCCTGCTAAAGGAGTCGCGTTACAGCCTCTGTCCATTGAAGATGATCGCTGTGCCCATCCCAGCTAAGCCCCAAGGGAAAGTCCCTGAAATCGTGCCTCACAATTCTGCTATCTAGAAATGACCCGTGGGGTTATTCTAAATGAAGGACGTAAAGGAAAGTCATAGAGTTGACACAGCATAAGTTGCTGCTGTCAGTGCTGCTTGTCTGCCATTGGACATGCAGTAGTAAAACAGCACAGCATTATGGGACAACATGCCCGAGTTTTACATCTCAAAGCTGCTGTAAAATGAGTGGATGAGCATTATCAAAAGCCATTCAGTGTTTATGATCATGGGAAAGATAATACATCATTTTATGCTACCAATGTAGGAAGAGAAACTAATAAACAGGCTTCATAAAGTCAACTAAATATAATTTCAATACTCCTTGGAAGTCCTCTCTCTGTCCTACTAGCTGAAGAATGACTAATGTATTGAACCTTAAACTAGACATATCAATTATGCTAAAAGACTATAAAACACATAAATGGACTACCAAATACATATAAAAAAAAAACAATCACTGCATGAGGAAGAGCAGGGAAGTAGAGCAGACATGCACAAAGGGGGACCATTATAAACCAGCAGAACGAGAGACCACAAACACTGAGCATGCCAAGAGCCCACAAAGGAGGCCCCAAAGATCTGTCTGTTTGAGGTGGATTCTATGGTTCATACACTCATATTCCTTGCCTGTTATCCGGTGCTATTCACCAACTGCTGTCACGCAAGACAAAAGACTCACCTCCTACTAAAGCATAACAACTCTTCCCAAACTATTTTTGTCCTTTATCTCTGAAACAATAAAGCCATGTTCGGAAAAGCTGGGGCAGCACATGAAGTTCTCTGCAAGGGGAAGCACAGTAATAGGTCCACCTCTCCCCCCCGGGGGACAAAACACTTTCAGGCCCCATGATATCACAGGTCCATGCCTCCCGCTAATTGTGAGTTAGAAGACAGCCCGGAAAGGCACTTTTGTTCCATTTAGCAGATGGAGGGAGCCCTTTACAAAGATCTCACCTGCCCATATTGTTTATCACCATGCGTCTAGGAAGACAGCAGCAAGCAGAAGGTTTAAGGTAGTAATCTCACATATATAGTGCACTGTCACCATATGTTACCGCCACCCGCTAGCAAACAGCCGCATGGACGATAACACAACAAAAGCGACTGCGGCCATTCTGGTGCATAAACGGAGACCGACTTGCTCCCAGCAGCTTTTGTACGGGGATGCATCTTCCAGCGAGAAGCTAGACCCGATAGCAGACTTTCTGTTCGCCGTCAGGATGATCCCGCACGTCTCCGACAGCGAGCGCTGATGGGTGGCCGCAAAAAAGACGGAGGGAGGCGTGTCAGCAGAATTCAATAATGATGCACCATAAAAGCTAACCTTGCGGTAATAGGGATACGCGCAGCGCCCAGCCCAGCATCATTGTTGAAGTCTCGGGCAGGTGCTCTAATCCGAGAGGCGGACGCCCGCCGGGTGACACATATTTGCATACCCCTTGAGGAAATGCCCAAGTAGCTACCAGCAGTCGATGCTCAGAACTCTCTCTGATAAGATTCAACACTTCCAGGCTCAATGTGCCAATGCGCTGCGAGATTCTGCTGATCTTGTGACAGGGTTTCCCAGACAACAGATCAGGCCAACAATGAAAGGTCATGTTCATCTCAATTATGCCTCCGTACCATCAGTACTGGCTGTTAAGATTCTTCATTATACCAGTGTATGCACTCGTCTCAGCAAGCCATGTTTATCAGAAAGAAGGGACTTGTCACATGGCACTCGCAGGCCCGAAACAGATCCGCAAGATATAGCAGGCTTCCAAACCTGCCATAGTTATAAATCATGCTAGATAACATGATTTGTAACAGGTAACAGTAGCTGGCCCTTTTCATGATGCTTGACCACAGTTAGTCCACTGTTTTATGTTTTGATCATCATTGTTACTTTCTTACATACTGAGACTACATGGCCTATCGGTTTCTGATGCGGCAGGCCTCACCACAATTTTGAGTGAATGAAACGCATTTTTAAATACGAATTCAAGAGATTCAGTCGATTTACTTATAGCGTGTTCTATGTTTAAATTACATATCACATCACTTTCCATTGTATACCATCTGCAGAGAATATTTGGAGTTAATGACATAGTATGAAGCAATTCAAAAAGAACTGAGTGGGTTTAAATGGTTCTTTCCAGCTTTTAGATACATTTAGCACCTGATTAAATCTAAAAAAAGAAAAACACAAAAACTGAACACAATAGTATAGTAATTATTTCACAAATCCTTTATAATTACTTTTTTCAAGCAGAAATAGCAAGCATGTAAGCACAAGGCTGTCATCATCGATCCTGCAAATGAAAAGTAATTGCAAACGCACTTCAAAAATGAGCTTAGTAAGTAATTATCCCTCTGTGAGTTAGATCTATATAACGTGATTTCACCAGAGGGAAGTAATTCTGGTGATTTCTGGCATATTTGAAATTCCGTAAATTAACCACAGTCCATGGCATTAACATGCTCGACTGTCTGTAAAACAAAGCTTTTACATCATGGATTTGCAGGGAACTGCATAATATTAATATTAACATTAAGTATGATTGCAGGGTGCTACTGTACACTTCCTCCATTCCTCTATTTTCTGTGAGTATATTCAGGTACATTCACACATAAACACACAATAGGGACAATTTAGAGTCACCAATATCCCCGAATGATGGGATTTACAGACAAAACCACATTCTCTCTGTTGAATTCCCGATTTTTTTTTTTCATTAAATATTAAACATCAACAATCCGTTGATTATTTGTTTCATTTTCTTTCAGGTAAAGGCTGACAAGGATAGGTTGTTACTAGTACACGGGTGTCAAACTCCAGTCCTGGGGGGCCAGAGCCCTGCACATTTTTGGGTTTCCCTTCGTTTAACACACCTGATTCAACTCCTTGTGCTAATTACCACACAGCTCTTGAGCTGAATCATTTATGGTGGAACAGGGAAAGAACTAAGCTACACAGGGCTGCGGCCCCCCAGGACCGCAGTTTGACACCCCTGATTTAAAGGGTGAGTAATTTTTGGTCTTCTCCTAGATAATTAATTGCCATATTGCAATATTGAACTATTGTGATGTGCATGATTTGGCTTATATAACTGATAGCCTGAGAAGTCCTCTGTCAAGTTTTTAAAAAATACCAAATGCCGATTTTTGGTGGGAAAGACGTCAGGATTGTTAGTTGTGTCTGACATAAATATTGTCAAGGGATTTGTCCATAGACTAATTTTCAGACTGCCTGAAGCATATATCTCTATTGCACTTTTTTGAAATATGTCTTCAAATTGTGGCGTAGTTCAGACAGTTCCGAAAACACATCTAAAACTGTGTTTATTGTCACACTGTGTAACGCACACTGGGCGGCACCACATGCTACAGCATTGATTTATAATACGAGATGCCCATAAACTCTGTTAGACACCCACTGGAGTCTGTTAGATGCCCATTCAACTCTGTTAGACGCCCTTCAACTCTGTCAGAAACTCATTCTGCTCTGTTAGACACCCATCAACTCTGCTGGATGCCCATCAACTTTGCCGGATGCTGCGGTCTGTAGGGAGGGAGGACGGCTCAAGACAAAAGGGCTCCGATAAACAAAAACATTCTATTAATAAAAACACTAAACATAAAACCTCCTGAACCAAAGAGTGAACCACTCTTCATTACATTCCAGGCTTGAAGTTTGCCCCCCAGTCTCACCCCTTTTCTGAAACGCATCCAGCTGGCCCCATTTTTCCCTAAGCAGTATAATTTGCTCAATCGGGGGGTGCTGGGTTTCACTAATTGAGCTGTCTGTGGGCTCGGGACTGATGATCAATTGCCATGGAGATGGGAAATCGCCAGAACCCAGCCGTGTTCCGTTTCCGGATGTCCTGCCAGCGTGCAACACTCCTGCTGCTAAAAACAGCTTCAGAACAGCTACCGATTCCTGCCTAATCCATTCTGCCTTTACTGTTGTGCAACAGCAAAGCAGCACAAGGCACTACAGACTCCTAACCTGTATGTCTGGGCATGTGACAAGCCTGCAGGTTTCTGCTATAAAAAAAAAAAGAAATCACTTGGGAGCCACAAATGGTAGCTGCACTGCACAGCATTCAGTCCACAATCTCCCTGTTAGGATGTTAGGGATATTATCTGACATATGTTGAGCAGGTTTGAGTGATCCCTTGCTTTACCATCAAGATTGATTACAAACTCCATGGATGTCTCCAGTAATATAACCCAGATGGCACTCAAGAGAATGATTAGCTCATAAGGGTTCAGGAAGGGTTAGAAGAGTGCCAAGGAAGGCACCACTACCAGAGTATGTCCTGAGTATTTTTGTTTGTTGATTTTCCAAGGCTCTTCATTTTCTACCACATAATATTTTCTTCTTCTTGTCCCTTTGTTTGTTTTTGGTTCCTACTAATAAAGCCTTTTATCTGAACCTTGCTGTCCCCTGACCACTTCTCCAAACCTGCTCCCCACTTTCGCATTCATTATGCATTCATAGAACATTCAGTGCACCTTCATAATGCATTCATAAAGCATTCGTAGAGCATTCATCAGCAGCATGTAAGTATACCTTAACATCCTAACATGTAAATTAGCTCTCGTTTGTAAATTTCCTATGTTCTTATGTTCGTACTGTAGCACCAAGCAGAGTGAGACATCGTGGCGGCAGCGAGGCAGAGCGAAGTAGAGTGAGGCAGAGTGGCAGCAATGAATGAAGACGAAGAAAGACTAATTCACACAAAGTTGCTCTTTATATCAGTCCTTTAAAGAACTGCACTTAAGTAACAACAACACAGCGGCCACGTTGCAGGGAAATGCAGGGAGGTTAACCAGTAAACGGTAAAGTAAACGCACAGTGAGTAAATACACAGTGGCTATAGACACGTCAGGATTACACATACAACACGGTACACGCAACAACCAGAGCAAAACAGGTGTTTACGCTAAAACAAACAGCCATTTACCAGACAAACACAGGGGCTAAACACGGGGTTCATGAGCATGCTGGGATATGCTCTAACCGGCGCTGCAATACTTTAACAGCTGTAGCATACATTAATAACAAACATTTTATGATAATAAGAACCATTTTATTCATTGAATCATCATAACATTTGTTATTAATGTACATTAAAGCATCACCAAACATTCCTTATAACGACAGACAAAGTAAGAAATTGCAGTAAGCTCTGGCTCCAGTTACATCATAGTCAACACATCTTGGGCATTTAAGAGATCTTTCGTACTTATATGCTACCTACAAATTACTTCATTCTATGACTCTATGTGACAAGTCCAGACAGTGCATTGACCTCTGCTGGACTGATCATTTGCCCGTGGACATCTTCCGCTTTTCATGTGCACATTTGTGTGTGCGCACATGAGTGAGCAAGGGGAGGAAAATACTGAAAAACATCCTTGTTCTGCAAATTAACTGGAGTCTTATCAAAGACAGGACTTGAGGAAGGGTGACCGCAAAAAGGCCAGATCAAAAACAGATGGTTCCAGAATATTATAGCCAGATAAGCTTATAAGAACAGTCCAAAAAGTACCACTCACTGCTACTTATCTTACGTAATCCACAACAGGTGATATTCACTTCTAAAAAAAAAAATGTCTGAAAATGAAAAATATGGATAATTTTCTGGTTTGCTAACTAATATGTGGGTAACACTTTCTTTTGGATAGTCCGCCTACAGAGTATTTGTAGCATTTCAACAACTTAGTTGAGATTCAACAATTCAGCTGTTTTGCTGTGTCTGTAGATGTTTAACAGAATACACAGTATATGGAGTACATGTAACGATTCATGAACATACTTAAATATTTTTTAGAATAATTCAATTGAATTTGACTGTTCACTCAATCAATGTTACATTAACTGCTGAGTCTCAACGGAAAAATTGCTGAAATGTTACAAATACTCTACAAACCCTCTGCAGGCAGACTATCCAAAGAAAGTGTTACCACTATGTGTAATATTTCTGTGTACTATTTTATATAACTATACTTTGCATTTCTAATGAAATCATAAACTTAATCCCTTAACTCTAAGAATCTATTCTGTCCATTTCTACCTGTGCTTGAATCTTTCTATATGATGAAAGGTATTTTGTCCATTTACCTGTAAACAATAATGCTATTTTATCTCCATTGCAGATATAAAATCTTAATGAGTGGCCCTTCAGCACTATCATGAAAGGACATGACTGATATTTCTCCTGCAATGTTCCAGCACGAAAACTTAAACCCCCCTCCCATCCATATCATGCCTCCAAATCCTGCCCTCACCCCTCCTCCACTCAATTATTTATAAAAGAAATGAGAGTTTTTCAAAGTTTAATAATTTACAGTTTCACACTGAGCGGAATAAATGTGTTAAGGATTAGAGACATTGCCTTTTTCATGGCTTTCTTTCTCGTGATTGTTTCTTTTGTTAAAAACAGCTTAGGATGGAACTGTGAGAATTCAGCCATTAGCGATAGGATGCTCCCTGCATTTTGGTATATTGTGTGTTTACCTACTGCAGCTCAAACAAAGTTTTATTACAGTTCCTCTGAACTTGGTTCCGAAATTCAAACTTTTCTGCCAAGGTGTCCCAGAGGTTCCCATTAGATGAACTCAACATCAGACAGATTTGACAGCAAACTCACTTTCAATCTAAAAAGTAACAGTGCTGGTTACAGCCTTAACAGTTATGGTGAGAAACTCCATTGTGCCAAAATCAGTGATCCACCCATCCCTGTTTGGTGAACTTCTGCCACATGGTAGAACAGCCTTTGTTTTGTTTTTTTTGTTTTTTTTTTGGGGGGGGGGGGTGTCGGCAATTTGTTTCAAATGTCTAAAGTACAAGCCTATAATACATCTCACCCACATCGACATTTCAGCTCCACGTACCTGTTATAATTATTTGTCATTTATTACGCGTTGCATCAAGGCTCTGAAAGTTTAATTATCTGAAAATCCAGAACCTGCTGACACGTGAAGGAAGACATCTGTGACTCAGTGCCTAAAAGCTCTCAGATACAAGCCTCCTCTGAATCTGAGAGGCCCCTGCTCTGAGTTAAAGGTAGCGGGTTTGTCTTGCCATGTCAGCACAAGTCTAAAAGAGATCATCACCATGAACTGAAAGTTCAAAACAAACCCATTACTTCCAGTATAAGACCTCATACTGCATGGTATTTAATGCAAATTCATGCAATGAATATACATATAATGATATAAAAGATGCAAACTTTACTCATCTACCTTCCATAACTGCATAACTGCTATGGTGAGTCTTTCCTGGGAGGCAGCGGGCAAAAGGCAGGGGATACGCTGAGTAGGAAGCTTGCCAATCACAGGGCATACATAGAGAGGCTGATTCAAAGACACTACTTCATTTAGCTGCATGTCTTCAGACTGCAGGAGATAAGCTACATCCCAGAAGAAAGTGGAGAGTTCAAATACGTATAGTGGAGGAGCGAGACCACAGAACTACCTACTGACCCACTGCACTACGCAGACAGAAATTAAATTCCCCAATTCTTCAACCAAGGAAACATCAGAAGGTTGTTCCTTTTAAGAAAGCAATCCGAGAAACCACTGAAAATATGTCCCGAATTAGCTAAACGTTTATATCGCATTAAAGTTTCTAATGCTCGCGACCATTCTGGCCTCCACACAACAGCAAGGTATTTGTCCTTCGTTGACATTCACTTTAATGGAGCATTTTTTTTTCCCTTCTTCCTTTTGTCTGCTTCTCCTTTCTTCGCAGTTTTTCAACATTGTTTTCGTAATTATGGTCCTTCAACCCGAAATAATGGGGCTTAGGGACTAAATGCGGCGAAACCATTTTAATGAGGTGGGACCTTTTATGTTCCTCCTGAGCGCCTGCCCTGCTATCCGCTGCAAGCAAACTAAATCAGACGTTGATAATTGTTTTAACAAAAGAGATGCTCCCAATAGTTTCTGCTGGGACATTTGTGGGTGTTGGGTAACTAATAAGAACATTAATCAAGTCTGTAGGACTGGAGGCTGACAGTGCCTCAAGATTCATGTTTATTGCATTAATGCACAACCCTCCCCCCAGCCCCCCATGGACTTGCTGGTGTAATCATGCCTACATGGATAAAAGCCTTGTACTCACGCGTCATTGACGTAGCATGGATAGGGCATTTGCTGAAGAAACACCCCTAGGGGTTGGGATGCAGAAGTGTGGGCTCGGATGATGCCATGGTCCAGCATGTCCTGCAGATAGGCGAAACCCCCCAGCACGTAACGAAGGTCATTGAAGGGGTGGGCACGGGCCCCCGGGAACCAGAGCCTGGTGGGAGACAGACGACTCAGTGCCAGAACGTGGGCCCACAGGCAGCCTCCTCAATGATGCTCAGTAAAGGATCGGGTGAGACGTGACTGGCCAGGACGGCGTAGGGCGTCATGAAAAATTCATGCCGCTGTGTCATGACTCAAGATCACGATCCAGGCAGAGAACATTGTGTTTTTTGTTTGTTTCTTTAATAAAATTATTTCCATATGTCAGTTTCAAAAGAACTCTTGATCAGTGGTAGACAGCAAACACTATACACATAGGGCGTTAAAGAAGAGATCAAGCAAAAAAATAGACCAAGGAGACAAAACAGATTTGAGTTAGCAGAGGATATGCCCTTTCCACATTCAATCTCTCCGCGAACTAGTGAAACTGTGGCACGAACCGCTGTCCCTGCGCATACCTCTCCTTCACTTTGTTGGTCCTCTCAACGTCCTCAATGTCCATCCTTATTTTGTACTTCACTAACGGCGGAGGTTGGCTGGATTGAGGGTCAATATCCAGGAATGCGATTCCTGCCCAGAACTTGTTTTCGTCAATTAGCTTCCGGGACCTGGATACCAGGCGGCCCTCATCAGCGACGGCCTCAAACTTATCAAGGTCAAAGCACTGCAACAGACAAAGGAGTACAGTCAATGAGGTCCATATTATCCGGGGATAGCAGCACTGGGAAAGCAGCACTGGGAAAGCAGCACTGGGAAAGCAGCACTGGGAAAGCAGCACTGGGAAAGCAGCACTGGGAAGGCAGCACTGGGAAAGCAGC